ATTGATTTAATCATTATCAAGATTTTTATCATACACTAAAGAAATCGTGAAAGATTTCGAGTATTTCTATTTACTTGTAGAAATGTAATTTATTTTTTTAATGAAATACAACGTACAAATCTCCGGAGTGAATTTCGGAAGACAATCAACGTCTCTGAAGTAATGCATATGATATCAAGTGTTCTAAATTGTATTATTGATTAAAAAAAATGACTATAAATTAACACACTTTTTCATAGCCAATATGACTTTAACACTTTTCCATTAATAAATAAAAGGTCCCAGTAGTAAATGAAGAGTGTTATAAATGAGGAGAGTTTATTAGTGAGACAATTAATAAGAAATATAACTTTACCTATATGCATCCAATGGATGTATGATAGAATTCTATTATAGATGGTGCCAGAGATGAACAATATAATAAATATTCAGCAAAGGAGATATTATATTAAATGGAGGAACATTTCATTACATGGCTGTGGATTGTCTATAGAATAAGAACGCGAAAAATCAATGTTTGACAAGTATGTCAGCTTCCTACGTTAGAATTCTTGAAGATGGGGTCATGGATCAAAGGTTAAATAGGGAGCATAGAGACACAGTTAATTAATAATAACTGAATAATTACATATATGATAATACAAAATAATCTACAATATATATAATGTAATGATGATCAACAACATTACATTTATAAACAATATATGATAGCATAATATATGTGAAAAATACGGAGCTTTTAAACAAATATAAATATATAGAAATATGTTTAATAAACAAATTTTTTTAATATCGATCAAATCAATTAGAATGAAAAATCTTATGAATTTTAAAATTATTTAAAATGCATAACATCAAAAAAACATTCTGTATGAAATGCTTACGGCCATACCACGTTGAATACACCAGTTCTCGTCCGATCACTGAAGTTAAGCAACGTCGGGCTCGGTTAGTACTTGGATGGGTGACCGCCTGGGAATACCGAGTGTCGTAAGCTTTTTGCTTTCTCTTTTTTTTCTCTTGAGTTTGTTTATCAATCAAATATTTTTCTTATCTTAACTATGATACTAACATTTTTTCTACTTCTATAAACATAATCGATAGGTTGTTGTTTTCTTTATAGATGCCTACGCTGTTAATCATTAAATCAACCAACAGCTATAGTTGTCATCATATATATCTATATATAATTTTTATTAAGAACGAAATTACAATGAGAATGACATCATTGATAAATCTATAACAGTAGATTGTTACATTAACAGTAAGTATCAGTAGAACTATAAATAACTACCTAATTACTGAATAAAATTTGATTGGTTGTACAACTGCTTATAGAAAATATTTTAAAATTATTTTGTTTCATGATGATTACAATGAAAATCGTGTAGACATACTTATAAATGAAATAATAGTTACGTACCGTAAAAATATCTCAAAAGATGTTGATCTATATTATTAACTGTCTACTCATACAATGACTTATATCAAATAATGATTAGCATATATTTGAATTTTTAATGATATCTATTTTGTTATTTCATATTATAGATTTCATCATTTTCTTTTATTTGTTCTGTTTAAAACTTTATTATTTCATGTCAAGAGAGATTTGACAAAGAAAACAAGTGAGCAAGATGATGTAAGAAAAATTTTCTCAGAACTGAAAAGATGCACATACAATTTTTTAAAAGTAAGAAGGTGCAAAATATTTTTTAACATTTTGTAGTTTTTGTTTTGAATAAAAATAAAACGATTCTTGCTGGGAACAATGAATATTTTCGCACAGTGGGGGAAGAAAGCGTGCGATGTATTTCCACGTCGCCTACATTTCTGCTTGTCAATCATACTATATTAGTTATAGCACATGCATAACAGACGTTATTTAGCTCATTATTTAGTATTGATTTGACAATATTGAAGTTGTAGAAAATGAAAAATATGTCATAATAGATCTATGATTATTTATTTTTATATAGAATAAGAAATATTTCATGCTGCAAATACTAAATGATTTTATATATAAGGTATGATTTTCTTTTTTCATATACAAAATATTCATTTATTCTAATAGCAGTTAAAAGAATATTTTGATTTAATAAAAAAAGCAATTAAACGAATATTCTTTCGTTTGTATTTTCAACGAATGACTTGTAACAAATATTCTAATTCAATTCTTGATGAAGTAAAGAAAAAATTGACATTTCAAGAGCTATGTCTATATACATTTGTTGCAAATTATACGCTTGAATTCAAAATTCCATATATGGCTTTGACACCCTCGCCTTTTTTTTTTCGTTTTTTTTGTTGTTCTTCATGTCTCGTGTTTGATCGCATAGTTTGTTGTAAAGAAATGGCAACTATTTCAGCAATTTGTTACTTTATATCATATTTTTCTTCGTTTTTTCTTTCTTTCACACTATTTTATGCGCAATAAAGAATGTTGCTAGACTTTTCAAGGCATGAAAAAAAAAGAAATGAAATGAAAGTAGGAAGAACAGACGTCCACGATTTATGTTATCTAATAACAACTATACGAGGACATTACTACATTCACAAAAAAACATCTGATTTTAAATTGATTTTATTAGTACGGTAGTAGTATATAATAAAAAAAATGAAGATGAATATTTTTCATTATCATTTTTCAGTTTTCTCGTTTTGTATTGGACAAATGTGAATATTGATTTAGAAACTTTAAGTATCAAATGTCAAAGAAAAAACGAGTACTTAACAAAGATGGGCGACAGATTGTGCACAAAAATATAATCAAGTATATTGCATGAATCGATAAAAACAAGCAGAGAAAGAAAAGAAAAACGATTAAGCTTGTATCAAAACTATAATATCATTATTTTAGATTCAAATATATATTTACTTATTTTTATACATATTCAAAAACGAATTTACAAAGCAATCATGTCTTGCATTCCTATTAGTTATTGCATGTTTGATTTTTCGTACAACGACGAAAATAACAACAACAATAATAATAATAATAACAGGTAATTAGTATTTTTCTACGTCATAATAAGAATCCCTGGACTATCGTTTTTTTTTCTTTGATTACTTTTTTTCTCTTGTCAAAATCATACTATATAAATAGGCTTCTTATAGTCATTGTATATTTTTTTATCTGTTTTGTCTCATTACCGATTATGATTTATTTTATCTATTATTAGTCCAATAGCCATGAAAATATCTCATTTATCTAATTATTCATATGATGAAATCGAAGAACTATTGAAACGTGAAGGACTTGATCAACGATTTCAATTAAGTTATGAACATGATAAAAAAATTGGTTCAACATGTCAAGTTTATTATGCATATGATTTATTACACAAGGATCAACGACTTGTTGCCCTAAAATTTATACGTACAGATTTTATTGATAGTTTTGTTTCATATGATGATTTATTAAATTTACAACGAACAAAAAATTGTTTATATAAACCTCAAACTGTTATTTATAATCGTCGTTTAAAAAATTTTGATAATTATATTCCTATTGAACAATATATAGGTGAAGTTGGACGTATATGTCCACATTTACCAATACCACGTTGTATTGAAAATGGTACAAAACATCTTAAAACATCTAATGCTTATTTAATTGCATTTGAATATATTCATGGACGAACTGTTTGGGAAAATTTAGTTCGTACAGATTTTAAATTTTTAAATGAATATCAAGCACGTACATTTGTACGTTTATTTATTGAACAACTTTTAATATTATTAAAACATCATATTATTCATTGTGATTTAAATGGTTGTCAAAATTATTATTATAAATTATATGATGAAATTGATTCATCAAAACAAAATTATGAACAATGGTCATCAAGTGAAGATGGTGAAGATGGATATTCAAGTATGAGTGGTAATAGTAGACAATCATCTATGGATGATCTTGTTTCTTTATCATCTTCATCACAATTAACATTTATTGATTTTGGTTGGTCAATATGTACAGCTGATTCGGATAATGATCGACATGAAATCTTATTACAAACACTTCAAAGTTTATTCGAACGAACTCCACGTATTGTACAATTATTTGCTGGTCGTAATTATTGGGATTTTCGTCGAGCCATAGAAAGTCGAACACAAGGTCTAAAAGAATTACTCGATCATCCATGGTTAACACAAGGTGATACAATAAATAAAAATTATTTGTAAACATCATGGTAATTATGTATTTATTTTTAATATTTCTTTATTTTGTTATACTCGCACATGGAACTGTGATAGAATGAGTCTTATTATTCTTCCACTTGGTGATCTAATGTATTTTCTTTTCCTTGTTTTGCTTTTGCATTACTACATATGCTTCTATATAAACAAGAAACGCACATACACGCACACAGTGGCTTTTTTTCTTTTGGTTTTGCTACATTTCTGATGTCTAGTCGTGAACTTGTCAGTTATATGTAATATAAAATAAAAAAGAACACTAACAGTAATAAAAATAATATGTTGCATCTATTTTGAATTATTGTATTAAAATCTATCTATTTGATTGTTATCAATAATTCATTTATTTTATTTTGTTTTTGTTTCTTTACTTTTCAATATTTGAAATAAATACAACCGATATAGATGCATATTATTTTTTTTTTCTCGGAATAATTTTCCAATGAT